TTTTTTTTTTTTTTAAATCATGATTTTGATATAGAAAATATATTATTTGCAAGATATTTTTAGATCATTGGAATTAATAATATCGAAAAAAACTTCCGAGGTACAACCTACTGGTAGCATGACCGCCGCTGAGCCCGAATGCTCTGCATAGAGAATCATGGAGAGAGCAGTTTTGTTTCCTTACGTGGAGGAAAAAAAATCGTCAAACATGATTTAAAGAGATAATGAGTATAAATGCCAGATAATACTTACTAGTACAGAGTCCGTGCGATGCACGAGATGCATAAGGTCATTTTTTTATTCTTATAATTATATAAATGAATAAAAAATATGTACGGGATATATATAATACGTGACCTGTAATAGACCAAAATGTGAACACGGGTGATGCACGAGGTGCACAATTTTAAGTTCATTTATTAGTGCATACCTCGTGCGATGCACGTGATACATATAATAAATCAATTATTTCTATATGACTTGTACGTCTAGACAAAAAAACAATAGGCTTGGATCATCCATATTTCACATCTTTTAATAAGTGGCGTTTATTTAAGCCAAAAAATTAACATGTTAATTAATATATAATTCCGCTAACACGTCATACTAATAGTTATTTGATTTTAGAATACATATTTATTCATTGATATAGGAAAAAATAAAAATTTTATTAATTATTGTTCACCATATAATACTCAATTATTATTTTATTATAAAATTTACAGTCATATAATGTAATTATTATTATTTATAAAAGTTATAGAAGTAGTCTTCTTTATGTAATGAAATTCAAAATAAAATTTTGAGTATAAATGTTTACAAAATACACACACATGTTTTTTAGAATTCAATTTTCTCATAATAATTCTTTTTTTTTAAAAAAAAAAATAATTTAGCAATTGCCGAAAAATAAATCCCTTACATAATCAAGAGATTTTTTTAAATTTTCATCCTAAGGCTTTATAGTTTATTTAACATACTATGCAATAGAAAAATATTTTACAATAAGTTCATTTTTGAAACATAACAAAAAAAAGTGATAAAAACACTATCATAGTTGACAATAATATACAAATAAATAACATGTCGAAATTTTAAAGAATAACTATAATTTTATTCTCTAACCATCAATAAAATCATTTAATGATGTGATCATTATCTTTTAAAAATATTAGTGTTATATAATTAAATAAAGGTTAAAAAATATTACTCGACAAATATTAATTATAATGGATATCAGTAAAATCATTGCATAAATTATTTAAGGAAAAAATCTCGAAGATCATATTTGGATAGTAAATGTAAATATGCAAGCATTTAATGCATATAGTAAAAAATTTCCAAATAAAGTATGCATTAAATGTGTGTTGACTTTTCTTGCTACTGTTTATGGTAAATAGGTTGGCTTTTAATATATATATATATATATATATGTATATATTCATAATACGAATTCCAACATATATTTATGATTTAAATTTAAATGTACGCCATTCATGATTTAAATTTAAATGCGAGTTAAATATTTAATTTGAATATATACACTAGTGCATATTCCGATGCACGTAGAAGTTCATATTTTAAGCCTTTTTTTTTAGACTTTATTTTAAATATAGTTGTTATATTTTTCACATCTCATCTCATTATGTCCTTGACGTGGGTGGAGATCAGGTGCTTCGCGAGCCACGAGGAGAAGTCGGTTTGAGCGACATTGACTGTCGGAGGTCCATTGTTTAGGTTCTGAAAGTAGGTTTGACTTGACTCAGGGCTGCAAACGAGCTGAGCCAGCCGAGTCGAGCATTAGCCTTAAAGAGCAGGATTGAATTTTTTTAGCTGCTTGAGCTTGTCATGCTCGATGCATAAGGCTCAAGCTCCACTTGATAAAATTGCAAGAGCTCGATCTCGACTCGAAATAAAAATGCTCGAGCTCGACTCAAAAATTTTTAAGTGAAAAAGTAAAATTACATTAAGCACCTATGCTAATATATATAAGGGGTATTTTAGCATCTTCACATATATCTCAAGCCGCTCGACAATGCAAAATATGGGCTCGACTCGAGTTCGGTCAAACTCAAGTCGAGTCGAGCTTTGAATTGAGCGCTCGCGAGGCGCTCGGTTTGTTTGCAGCCTTATGCGCGAGGGTTGAAACAACGATTCCCATGCAGTAAATCCAACCATTTTAGTAAGTTCAAAAATATTTTTTAAATAAAAATAAACGCTTATATAAAGAAATAAGAAAAAATTTGATTATAAGGCATAATTTTTCGTTATTTGTATCAATTTAAGACCCAAATTTTATTATTTCTCAATATAAGGTTTATATTTTATGTTGTTCTCAATTTAAGACTTAATTTTTTAGTAACCTTTTCACTGTAAGAATAAGGTAACTTTATTTTTTAATATAAATATGTTAAACAACTATCATATGAACAAAAATATTATTAATATTTTTCTTATAATTTATATTCTACATACTTATAATAAAAAATAATGAATATCTTTAGTAAAATTACATTAATAAAAAATAAAAGTGTATAAATTACAATGATACAAAATTTTATTAATGATTAATTTTCAAAATGGATAGTTTGAAAAATATGTAATTGGAATATTATTTGAATTAATAATATAAATATATAATAAAACTACAAAATACATTTAAATAATGTTGCCTTCATTTTAGTTTTTTAGGATTTTAACTTTTCTTTTTGGATGCAAAAAGTTGATACCATGCAATTGTTGACTGAATATTATTGTAGAATGTATTTAAATATTATTTTCTAGTTTTATTACATATTTATATTATAAAAGTATTTCCATTACATATTTTCTATATTGCCTATCATTTGTTTAAAAAATAATAATTATTAAAATTTTGCATAAATGTAATTTATCTAGTCATTTCTTATTAAGGAAATTTAGCTAAAGATATTTATTACTTTTATTATAAATATGCAATATATAAATTAAAAAAATATTTTAGTTCACGTAACTATATTGTAAAATAATGTTAAATGATTCGCGTATTATGTCAAAAAGTAAAATTGGGTGGTTCTTACAATGAGAAGCTAACTAAAAAGTCAGTCTTAAATTAAAAATAACCTAAAATATAAGTCTTTTATTGAAAAAGAATAAAATTCAGGCCTTAAATTAAGACAAAAACCAAAAGTTAGGCTTTGTGATGAAATTTCCCCAATATATAACATATTGTAGTCTATAGATTGCAATATATAACTCATCATATTTTTTAAAAATAAAATATACATTTGTGTTAGGAAATCATATATTTGTATAAAGTGTTAAAATATCATTATAAAAGTAGGACAATTCTAATTACAAAAAATCAAGGGAGAATAATATTAATTTTTCTAACTTTTAATCTTAATATTTTTTATTATTTTTTGATATAGTGCATGTCATTTACTTAACTCATTTTTCTTATATTTGTACAAATATTTATTTTTAAGGATCCGTGTATGTACAATGGTGTGTAAACGACATGAATTTGGTTCACATGAGCTTATCTTCTTCTCAACCTGTTCAACTCGTTAGCACTCCGACAATTAAGTTAGTCCACAGACGAAGAAGACAAAGAACAAAATATGTAAAGTTTGTAAGTATAAAGTGTGTAGAGAATGTAATGTATATATGATCATAGCCCAAGCCTGTCTGGATGAGCTGTCCTGACTGCTCGAACTGCCCGTTCGTAGTGCCCGAACTACATAATCATGTTAGGTCTTGTGGCCCTAGACATATGTGGTTCTTATTGAAATAAAATTCTTTTTTATTCATTAATCTGCCTTATTAAACGTTCTAATCATTCGACCGACCCGATGCTCCTCGAGGTAGAGTGCCTTCTGTACTCAACGTAGGTTAGGAAGAAGAAGTCTTTCGTGTAATTCCTAGTTGTAATGGGCCAACACTTTCTTCAATGAAAGAGTTTCGAAGGGAGAGCAAGATGCTCTCGTAAAGGTTCAATTTTGTTTTAAATTGTTTCTGCATTACTGTGAACATTCATTATTATTAGTGAAGTGCAAATTAGTACCTCCCCAAAAATTTCAAGATTGCATTTACTTGGAACACTAAACTAGTTAAAGAGGTTTTCACTAATGAAGAGATTGAAACGATTCATAAGATACCTATAAGTCTCTATGGAAACAAAGACAAGGTGGTGTGACACTTTGGATCTAACAGAAGCTTCACTATCATCAAATCAACTTACCAGGTGGTCCAAACTATGCAGCATCTTGTACAAGACATTCATGAGGCAAGTAAGTAGGGAAACAAGTTGAATTGGAGGAAGACTTAGGATCTTAAAGTTAGAAAGAAATTTGGCCCATACTTACATTCTTCTCCGACAAACTTGCCGCAGTCGGCCGCTGCCTACACCGCGTGATGGCGGGCAAAAGATTAGAACCGGTGATTTTCTAATTTTCTCATTTTGTTCATCTTTTGAAGTGTCGTTTTCTACACAGTTTTTCAATATATTCAGAATTTTGTACTTAATTTTTCCGGTGGGAGCAGAGCTTCATTTGGGTGGGCCATTCAAATTTCTCAACGAGTACACCAGTCAAAATTGAAGTGATCTGAAGAATTCAACTCATTCGTTCGGTGTTTTTATTCTCTTTTTTTTTTTAGTTTTAAATAAAATTATGCATACATAATTATGCGACGATTAACTTTTTCACCAGGAAAAATCCAAAATGTTACGCGAATGAATATGCGATAGTTATGCACTATTGTACGAAAATTAAAAGTGCGATTGACCATAACCTTTCGCACATTATGAGGTGGAAAATGCGATAAATATTAATAAGGTGTAAAAGATGCACACACTGCACTGTTATGTAAATACTAAATTTCTAAAATTAATAACATGATTTCAAAAGTGTTGTTATGTAAATACTAACTTTCTAAAATTAATGACATGAGTTCAAAGACTTGAAAGCTGAAATTCAACTAAAGCATAATGAGAAAAGGAAAGTCTATCAAGATCAGGCTTCATATTATGAAGTCAGTCAGACAGCAGAGGATTCACAACTTGCCCAACAAAGAGCACAACACCACTGGTCTCCTCCCTTATTACAAAGAGGAAAGGATGGTCAGCTACAAAGTCAAACAAGTCCTCCTGCCTGTAAATCCCACATCCAACAACGTTGACACAAGCCGAAGCTGCTGCAGCCTCCGTGCCCTGTTCGTCCACCTCTACGTATGCCTTATGGAAAAAGAGCGAGATTTCGAGTGGATTATACGGATCAGAGTAAACCATCTCGGTCAAACCACCGCAAAAAGGGAGAACCAATCCTTGCTTTTTAAAAAACTCCGAAGCCTCAAAATCGAAGGTTATTCTAAACTTGGGGAGACGAAAGTCCCCCATTTTCACTCTTCGATTTGGCGAGTGGTGCTCTATGAACCCAGAAATCGAGCCGAATTTCTCGACGAGCGCCTGCAAGCCATCCCTGGCATTGGGAAGAAAGAAGTACATGGAGAATGCCCGTGTGTCCTGGCCCTTTTGGTACCGTAGCTTTAGAACCTTAAATTCGTCAAAGGCGAGCGCGAATTGGTTGTCAAAGCTGGTCATGAAGGGGACACGGACCGAACTTCCGTTCAAGAGGAAGAAGTCGTGGACTCGGGTTAGAGACGGGTCGAATTCTGAATCCCAGGCTCCTTTGAAGTAGAGTGCATTTGCAAGGATGAGTTTAGCCGTACTAGTGACTGAGCCGGGTGGGAGCAGATTTTTTATCAGACCATTTGTTTTCTCCTCGGCCCAAGCATTCACTGCTTCTCTTACCGCATTAAACTGAAAAAAGTTTCAGAGAAAATCAAATTAATGAAAGAGTTGGTACATAAATTAGAGTTGACAATTGCTGCACTACCAGAAACACTATAGTAACACATGATTGCAGCATGATTTGTCAAACGAAACACTATAGAAACACTATACTATCGTTAATTGCAAATCCTAAATCCAATTGGTGCGAAGTTAAGAAAACCTAACCTGATTACGAAAATCCACATGACCCACTGTGCTCCCATAAGCATTCTCGATGGTTTCTTTGAAAGCCGGCTTCAGGGCAAGGCTGCGTTCGATCCAAGCCCCGTTGACGATGGACATGAGAGGGCCGCCGAGCGGCCCGCCGTCGGCTAGCAGCCTGGTGGCGATCTGCGACGATAGGGAATTGAGCTCCTCGATCGAATCGAACATGAGGTAGCGCAGGAGCTGGTCGCGTGCAGGGCGGCCCGCCCCGACCGCGACCATTGCCAGCACGACGTGAATTGAGAGGGGCGAGAATACGAAGTTGTTGTCCTTGACGTGGGTGGTGTTGTCCTTGACGTGGGTCGAGATGAGGTGCTTCGCGAGCCACGAGGAGAAGTCGGTTTGAACGGCGATTGACTGCCGGAGGTCCATTGTTAGTCTCTCAAACTAATTGGGCGGAGACTTAAGCTTAAGTTATAAACAGAACTCCTTGAGGAACTAATTGGTTATTGGCGGAGAAGTATCAAACTCTAGTTTCTCAACCAACTAAATAAGACGTTTAAATAGAACTCGTTAAGACCTAAATAAATAACTTGTTTGATAAGAAAAAAAAAAA